CCAAAAGGAATAAAAGATGCTTTGGATGCTGTAAAGTTAAACTGATTTTTACAGTGACAAGTGACAGCAATAGATAAGGTCACTGATAATTTTACACTTCTGTTTAGTGTTGTGTCTTTGACCCAAGGCAAATAATCATCCTCTGTCCTTATGCAAACTATGGCTAAATGGAGATTGACATATCTGTGGTGACAGAAGTTAGTCTTTTCACCTTCCTACATGCTTATTTCTTAAGTAGTATCCAATAGTTGCAAATGATTCTGAGAAGTTATGTCAAAGAATGCTAAAATGTCTTAGGTAAGCATTTGAACATGATTCAAAATTCATATTACTTTTAAATAAGAATGAAGGGCTTCGTGGACTAGGCATTAGATTTCACCAAAAGTCTCCAGGGAAACTTGAAAAGCACAAGTATTTCATCAATATATTTCTTACAAGGGATTCGGTTCTCAAGATTATCATTTATATTGTAGAAAATCTCAAGCAATGCTCTTCAGGAACTAGTATTTTACTCTTGTTTCAATTACAACTGCTCTCCTGAACACTTGTAATTTTTCATAGATCAATTTACAAGACATAAACCAAATGTTAAAATGGTGTTGTTGCCTATTTAATGGTTGAAAGAAATGTAGGTGAAAAATTACAATTCAGAGAGCCTGTGTCATTAAAAACGTGTGTGAAAGAAGTTTAATTAACTTCAAGCAAAAAATGCATTTGAAAGATTAGAAAGATTCTTAACTTTCACTTAATTCTCCACTATGGGTCATACTTAGTACAATATTTTACAGCTAAATTTTGCACATATGTTGAACTCCTTATTCAACAAAACACTCTGGCCTTGTCAAATTGAAGCTTTCGATACTCTGTAGTAAACTCTGTGTCCTCAGTCCTGGAAGCTTTTTAAATTCTTAATGCTTATTGATTTCATTGAAGGTTATTCTGTTACTAGATCATGCTTTGGTGTGCTTACAGAAAGCCACGTTGTTAAAGTAAAACTACACTTCCCTACATATTTGTTTAAAAGCAATACTAATTGTGTATGAAATACCTTATATCCAGTTTAATAAGTCCAGAGTCGGTTTGTGCAACTCACAGCTGCTCATTAGCAGTTGGAGTGCTTCAGTTGTTGATGTATTTTGCAGTAGAACTAAAGTAGGTGAACAGACATGGTCTGTATTTTGACTCTTCATCATTCTGTGTAAATGTATATTCTGCATTAAGCATATGCATTTGCATTTTATGCATTTGAGGAGTTTATCCTTCCTTAATGTCAAAATGTCACGTGACAAAAAATTTTAGCATTGTGCAAGCTTCTAAAAAAACCCAAACAAAATGAATATATTAATTAATGTTTTATGCTTTGCATTATGATTTTCAAATCTGTATTTAAAAGTAGGTTACTGAAGTAGTAGAGCATATGATATCATATAAATTGCACAAAGAATGGTTACAAAAACCTCTCTTATTCTTTAACATGCACAACTTGCTTCATCTGCCCTTTTCATGGCTCTGTAAATTCTGTCATTTACCACAGTGGTTTCCACTAGGAAATTAGTTAAACCAAAACTATTTTTATAATCTAATATAAAATGAAGAGTTTATCTGCTAATTTTACTAAATTCTACTGAAAAGTATCATTATACAAGGGTACTTTTTTAATTGTATAGAGGTTTCGTACTGGTTGTGTTGATGAAGATGATTTAGATTTGACTTTTTTTAACTTTAACTTGTCATCATTAACAACAAAAAGCTTTCATATTTTATTTTTAATGCACAAATAAGTAACTAATAAGTTTAAATACAATCATAAATTTCAGAAGTGTAAACAATTTTTTTTTAAGTTACTCATCATTTTAGCAGTGTTGTAATATAATTACTGTTTAGAATAATCACAATAACCTGCAGGATTGTTTGAGATTTTGTAGAGAATGGAAAAGTTTGTCACAAACATATGTGCTACATGTAAAATACTAAATATTTGTTCCTCTGTATTTTATGCACACATATGTAACATCTATGCCATTTATGAAAATTTGGAGGGGTTTTGGGGTTTTTGTTTGTTTTGTTTTGTTTTGTAGAGCATTGTGACTGTAGATCTACTTAGTACTTTATAATTATATTGATTAAATAGTAGAAAATGAAAAAGACCTTATTTATGAGTTTATATTACTCTGTTAAGCACAAAGGATTTACAAATAAAATAACCTAACAGAGGATTTGAACAGTGTTTTAGATTGTAACATTTGAGAAATAATATGAAAATTCTATGTTTATACAAAATGGCACAGGTGTCAGGACCTATTTTGACTTTTTAGAGAAGGTAAATGTAGAGATAATACAGAAATCAAGAAAATATTTTATTTCTTAGTATAGGTCTTATGACGTGATGGCTGAAGGAAGTGGTAAATCATTTATCATGGAGTGATTAAATTTATGTAAAATTATTTCCAGATGAATATTCCATTCTACAGATGCAGAAATTTAAAAGTGATCTTCTGTTTTGTGTATAACAAATAATAGGATGATAATTAGAATAGTTCAGTGTTGATGCACCTATGTGTAGGAAGTCACCTACATCTACGAAGCTATCTAAAGGAAGATTGCTTTCCACTTTTCAAGTAGTCAAAAAAAGTTGAGAAATGTATTTTTTAATGAATAGTATCAAATCATGTACTAGGACAATTACATAGCTGTAACAAGAATCCTTATTAAATTATGTTTGGAGGTGTAAGTTAGAAAAAGTACTTTAGACCACTAGCAGGAAGACTGTACTTAAGCTTTAACCATCTTTTTTCAGTTCCTTACCAACCCTGCACTTCATTCATATGCTGACTCCTCTTTCTACGTCCTGTTTGTATCTGTGTTGCATCTTCTGAAATATCTCAGCTTTGTCTATCTCAAGGTTCACATAGTCCTTTCTTCTGATCATCTTCTATTCTCACTCATCAAAGACGCAGCCTTGCCAGCCATTGGTAGAAGAGATCAGTAAAAGGAATTTCTCTCACGTGTTGACTGTTGAGATATCAATGTATTCTTTTGTCCTCAATCTTCTCAAAAGTGAAAATACAGATCCCCATTTTTTCTGATGGATAATTGTTTCAAAAATACCTTTGGTACATCAGAATATTTTGCTTGAATAACATTAATACTAAACTGCATGTTCATCAAATATTTCTGGTGACTGTTAAAGGCACTGGGTCAATGTCTCTTTTATCCCATTCTCCTTTATATTTTCTACTTTCTTTTGTCCCAACTAAATGTGTAGATTACACTGAACACATGCTAATTTTTCATTTCACCCTGAATTTCTAGTGGGAAATATTCAGCAGAAAAGTCCCTCCAGAAACCTCTTTCAGATAATGAGTTTGGATGAAACCACTTTTTCTTTGAGAGAAATGTTCTATGAATGCCGTGTAGTTACACTATACAGAAAATCCTGTGGAGATTAAAAAAGAAAGTAGATTCTCAAGTCTGGTTATGGCCCTTTGGCTCCACTGAGACTCTTTTAATGACTTTATCCAGCCATAAATAACCAGAGGAACATTTTCCTGCAGGCACATCTGTGCCACTGATGAGACATTAGTTTTTCCCCTTAGGCTCCAGTGCTGGTAGGAGGCATGTTGAGAGTGATACAGCTGACCTTCATCACTGCAGATGACTCCTGTTTTGGCATTGGCTTCATTAAAGCCCTGGTGTCACTAGCATTAGAGTGACCATGGAGTACATTGTCAGATGAGGAATACCTGCTCTCTAAAGCCCATCATCATTTGCACTGAGTGGGAACCGTGTATTTTGGTTGTAGCTTTATTATGAATCCTTCCATATGCAAGAGTTTGTGGGCCAGTCTGTAAAGTGAAGTTACTTGCTCAGGACATTCTCAGTAAGGAAATTTGCCACTTTAGTATTACAGCATGAATACTCGAACATAACCAGTTACATTTATTCGCAAAGACTACTGCTTAATGAGGAAAATCACTACTTTTAATGGAGAAATCTTCAGATGAAAATGGAAATTATGCCTTTGGCTGCCTCATATGAGATTGATTCTGTCCACTTACTTTTCTAAGAGTTTTCTGTACCTCTAAAACTGTAATGCAGAGCAGCGTATGCTGAACCACTGTGCCAAGTGGCTCACAGCCAACTTTTGCTGTTCCTTTTTCCCTCTCACAGTACTGAAACGGTCCTTTCTCACAGCAAATGAAACCATCTATCAGCATGATTGGTTTTTTATGTTCCCCAAATAATAATTCTTTTGAAATGTTTTTGTTAACCAAGGAATCCTCTGAATTGAGTTTTAGGTTAGTCTGAAGGAGTCTGCTGTTATATTTTGCAGAGCAATCTTCCTTCTCCAGCCTTCCTGAACTTTATCAACTGTACATTTTGCAGTGGTATTTTCACGGCTAAAATGCAGCCGTTTCTGGAGTTTACACTGAGTAAATGCAGGTGAAATCAGAAGCTGGACACTTAAGAAATCTTCCTTCTGCTCAAAGTGAGCTTTTCAGGAACTAAACACACAGTTAATAGTTTATTTTTGAAAGTTGAATTCCGTAACATCACCTCATCTTTGTCATCTGCTCATTGGCTATTGCAAGCGTGTAACCTTCTAGGTTGTCAAGGCTTTCTCTGGCTGAACTGAGCATTTTCTCAACCAGGTTGTCTTTGAAGACTCTCAGTGAACTGGGTTAGGTTATACTATGTACTAGCCCCTCATCAACAGTGTAGTAATAGACTTTATTTTCCCCAAATTTTAAAAGAGTTTTCAAATTGTTGGCTCTGAGAGTAAATTACCTTAGAGCTAAGGGTCCGCAGCTATAGCAATTTTGGCTGTTTTCTTGGGGGAAAAGGCTAATCAATCTCATAACATTCTGCAAATCCATTTTTGTTTAAAGAAAAGCAAAATATAAAAGTCAAACAAGCCAGCTCAAGGAGAAGGGTGTGTGAAAGAGAGAGGTGTAGGGTTTTTTCTGGATCTCAGTAAGAAAAGTCTGACAACAAATGGCTCAATAAAACAGCTGTTTTAATAAGACAGAGTAAAAAGAGGAATACAGATAGAGAGTAAATCTTGTATCCCTCCAGATGCTGAGACCCCTGCTTTCGTGCAGCATGGGATTGATCCCAGATGAGTTTTTGCATTGCATGCTCTGCAGATCTTGCCTGTGGCTGAACATCCTCTTTTTCGGTCATTCAAATGATCATTGACATACAGCGGTTTTTCAATTAGGATCACTAGAGAGATACTTTGTTAAGCGCCAGTACTGTCAGGAACAAATCAGAAACATCAGAAGGTATGTAGTTCAGTCCAAGCTGGTGGAATTGCTATTTCTGAAACACAAGTATTCATGTCAAAAAGCTACCGTATTACAGTAAAAGAGTGTTTTATAGCCTACTGAGGATTTTATGCATGAGGAGAAAAGCGATGTTTAATTCCCTATGGTCTAATAAGTAAAAGGTTGTTAAAATAGGGTATGATTTTAGTTTTTTTAGAGACAATGACAAATCTCCCATTGATTTATATGAGTGAAGTAAAATTTTTATAGAAAAGGCTGACTAGCACTTCCAACAAAACATATTTCTTAAGCTTTAAATTCTAATTTAATTCTCAAGGTTAAATGCTCCTAGAATTTCTCAATAAAATCTAATTATAGACTGATTTTTTGCTAATGCCTGTTCTATTAGCAAATATACAAATATGTCTTAGAAAGCAGGTGAACACTTGATTTCATACTGTGTTGGTGGTTTTAATATGTATTGTAGATGCAACAGCAAATTATTGAACACTAGTTGGGAACAGCTTGCATTCATAGCAGGTCATAAGGCTTAAGCTTTCATAACTGCAGCATATGTTGCACACTGGGGAACTTGCCAATTGACCTTCCACTCCTTGGCATTCTGTGGTAGCTGTGATTGTTGACCAAGACAGTATCCCACTTATTTTCTTACTTATTCTAAGTGAAAATTGCTTTGAATTATGCCACTGAAAACAGATATGGGAGACTTTTTAAATTTTTATTCAGGGTACTTGGATGTGTTAGCATATTTTAATAAGAATTGCACAATACTCTAAAACCTTCATTTCTGATGCAAAAACCCTTACTTTTTGTTTTTATATAACTTATTAGATCCCCACGTTAGTTTTGAATGCTGTTTTGATCCACAGTTGGTTCTGCTGACTTGGTTCACTCTCACTGTTGTGAAAATTGTGCTCCTTCTCAATATCAATAACAGTATATTGACACAAAAGGCTATACTTGTTTGTTGCCTGATGTACGAGTTACGAATGGACCCATCTGTGTTGCTTCCTTCCTATAAATACAGAGATACATACTGTCATCTGTACTCAAGCCTTCCTATGCTGATTGACATGGTAAGGACCTACCAACTACAGAGTAATAACATAGGTTTTCTGTACTGTGTAGTATGAAAGTGGGAGGTTTCTTGGATAAAATGCAAGAGATCACATCAACCTTTAAAGTTGAGGTGATTTTACTTTACATATACAGTATATAATGTATAGCTTATATACACAATATATAATATACATCTTTTTTACTCAGTAATCTTGAAAGCCTGCAAACTAGTTTTTACTGATAGATCATATGTTAGCAGATCATGGAACTGTTAAACAGGGTAATTGTGGAACAATAATTAAGCAGTCAGAGAAGATTATAGAACATTTTAGATCTGTCTACCTTGTGTAAGTATGTTGAACAATTAAGAAAAATGCAGTATATTAATAAAATTTGGCTTGACATAGTAAGTACTGCAGTTCCTACTTATACCGCACTGAATACTAGCTTCTGGAATTGCAGAACTAGAATGAACTTGTGGGTTCTTTCCACCTTTCACATACATAATGACTATTGGTTGTTACACAGTTTCTGAATGGGAAAGTAAACCACCATGAAGGGTCCTGAGTCATTGCAGCTGCACTGTGATTTACCCCATACCTATGCAAAAGCAGTTCACTAATCATCATCTAAAAGCTGATTCAGCTGTTACACAGCCTTGTCATTGGGTTAGTGTTTGTGATTCATACTCAGGTAGCTGTTACCACCAAATTGTATTGTTATTCTTAAAAGGAAGCCTGTAAGAGAAGAAAGAAAAACCTGAATAACATTAACATTTTTTTTAGGAAACATTTTCACTTCATATTGCAACTGTTAGTGGAACATCAACATGGAGTTTTCTCCCTAAAAAACAGGCAAAATTTTCAACTACAAAAGAAATTTTTCCTTATGTTCTACATAATTAAGTGGACCAGTTAGATACGTTGATGAACACAAGGGAAGAACATAGAATAGATGCTCACTTAGCTACTTACCAGTAACAGAGTATTGACAAGGACCATGCATGCATTTAGTGGACTGTGGGTACTGCCTGGAAAACCTCTGAGATACCAGTATAGCCACTCAGACGAGGGATATCTTCTATAAAATATTACAAATTCTTCCAAAAGAAAAGAATTACTAGAATAAGAATCAGAGTTTGGAGAATTCAAACTATCGAGAGGGAGGTCCTGTTGTTGAGAATTCATACTCCAATTCAAAGGGCTAATTGTGCTTCACAGTAAAAATGTAAAAGGACAATGAACCTCCTATAAATAGATCACCAGGAATCTTCTTGTCTCTAGAATTAAGAATGTTGCCAAATTGAATAGAATGTGTCAGAGCTGTTATTCATAGTCAAATGATTTTCGGGAAAGAAAGAGGAAATATTGTATATGAGTGCAACTGATTAGTAGAAGTTTTAATTTTATATAAATCACATGCAAAGCATTTAGAAAAAAAAAGCTGTGAAAACACTTTGTTCTTCTGTGTCCAAACTTTTGCTTTGTCTGTAGTGTTTAAATATCTTTAAATACTTGAGATCATGAAGAACCTGGGCAAGAGAAAAAGCAATCTAGTGAATTGTTCTACATCCTCTATAGAGAGTAATAGAATTGTTCTCTCTCCTCTGTTTTGCATAAAGGTGAATGCACCTTGGATACTCACTGTGACTGTACTGGGCATGATATAGTCAGACACTACTTTTGAGTGATAGTGGTATGACCTACAGCGTATTGGCCTAAATTTCACTGCTCAAATACTGGGATAAATTATTTTATATCCACTCAAGTGTGATTTTTTTTTTTTTTAATATAATCTGCTCATCCTTGGGTTCCTATAATCAGCCCTCAAGAGTAACTGCCATGGATTTGCATGTGATGTTAACAGTAAAAGAATGGGAGGTATTATATAGAGTTGGAGCCATACTCAAAAGACCAGAGAGCACCCTGTAAATATCTGCAAAACTGGAGTATATACAGGACAGTGAGTTACCTGAACCTTGTGATTTTTTTTCATCTGGAATGTGCCAGAAATTCATGTGTTTCACATTTTTAAATCCATTTGTGGAGTATTCTTTTAAGTGAAGTTTTATATAAGTCTCTTATGTTTGTTTTCTATTTTTAATAGATAAATTTTCTAATATAATTGGGAGATGCTTTATTTTATATATATATTAATTCTTAATGTCTTAGACATTATGGGTTTCCTCAATTTCTTACTCCCTCAAAACTGAGATGATGTGCAAGAAGACAGAATGCTTAAAACAACAAAATTTGACATGTGTATCCTGGAAATAAGATTCATGAGGTTTTATACTATGGATCATGGCTTCACTAAACACTAGGTCAATTTAGCAGAAACTATGGTCACTAGCTACTTTGTTATCACTATCCTTTCTTTTTTTTTTTTCCTTAAAAATTTATGCCTCAATTAAAACAAAAATTAATTTAAGAGAATTTTCTAAATTAAAGTTAGACTAAATGATTACAGAAATGCCATTCTATCCTCACTAATAAGTAGCTTCTCTGTTATCTTCTGTTGGCTTCTAATGCTGAAATTCCCTCTATGCCAGTCAGCCAAGAAAACTTCAATTTTCTGCCTTTCATATTTTTCATTGTTCTGCTAGAATGGGTAGAATAGGCATGTTAAAATTATTAAATAGTTCTGAATTTTTGCAGATTGGATGCAAATTGATGGGTTTTTTCCAGTTACAAAGTTCAAATATTTTCTAAACTTGCTTTCCTTATGCCAACTACATGACAATGTCAAATAACCAAATTATCTCTTTCAAGAAATTTAATTTCTTTTTTTCACCATCCATTATTCATAAGGGAAAAACTTCCACATAGACTCACATGAAATTGTCAATACTTGCAACTAGATTGAATTTCTTTAGCTATGTCTTACGTCCAGGTTTTCTCTCATTGTAGGTCCTCAACCAATAGCCTGTTTGCTTCTCCCAAGCCCTCCTCCAAAATGACACTGATAGGTGCCATAGCTTATGGAAGATGCCCTTCTTTTTAAAGTATGATCTGGTTAAGCACTTCTGTGGAAGATGCTCCGCATAGCAAAGTATAGCAATGAGTTGAATATTTTGCTTCTTCTATTGTAATAGAACACATACTGTTTTAAGTTACATGTATCTATATATCCTGAGCTGCTTATTACTAGTTAAAATAATAAATTTAGAGTTCAGCTAACAGCAAAGCAAATCTCCTGGCTTTTCCAACTATGCTTCTGTTCAGGAAATACCCCACTGACTTTCATAACCCACTTGCATTTGATTTCTGTGGAAAGTAGAAGGCAGTAAAAGAGGAAGTGGTGGCATCCTACTACTATAATATCTGTAGGCAGTTACTTCAAATAAATAATAATTCTATTTTACCTGAGATTCATGGTGCTTCCTTTTTCATAAAACAGCACAGAAGAGCTCTTCACAGTTTCAGGAGAAGGGCAGAAAGCTTCTGTGAAAACATGGTGGACTTTTTGTCTTAAGAGCCTGGGTTTTGAGTAAAAATCCTGAAATGATAACTAATTAACAAAAAGAAGAAAGAGAAGCATACCAGCTAATTGCTGCAGTAGGACTTCTTGAACTTCAAGGAAAAAATTAATATTGTCCTTGCTTCATTGTAATTATTCAGATTTAGCAGCAAAATACCAGTTCAATTAATCAAGTTAAACTTAAAATATACAAAGCCAAGTAATTTTTAAAAAAACAACCCCAAAACTTTGAGCATTAAGCAAATGAGAGATAAAAGTCAAATGTAGGAAGACATGATTGGAGAAGATATGTTATAGATATGGTGGCAGAATATGCAAGATATAGACATAAGTTAGGATGTGCAGCCTAAGACAAATAATATAACTTTATTATCATAAAAAATCAAATAGCTGTATTTGTACCATGACAAAAGAGACATATACCTCATCGTTGAAAAGAAGAATCTGATAGGATATGTGGGAGGTTAAAAATACCTGCAACTCAGCACAACTTCCCCATGGTTACTGTACCATAAAGGTCATAGATAGGCCCATAAACAGGCTGAGCTAATGCCAGTAGATGCAGTCAATATTACCAAAATCTTGAGGACCTGCTAAAACCAAATTATAAAATTAAATTAGAAGAGGCTCTGCTTACAGTGACATTTTCAGTGGAGCACCTGAGTGTCACAATCTTGCAAGTGCACGAAAAGACAGAGATGACAGAAGCAAATCAGAACCTGAAATCAACCTGGTCTTTTAATGTGACAGTCTCACTCTAAACTCTAAATGATTAGGAGAGAATGAGATCCTGAGGTTGTATTGTTCAATTTGATTCAGAGTTGCTCAGGCTTATAGCTGAGGACTATGCTTGGGACTTACAGACCATAATATCAGTTTGACAAACTGCTCTTGGGTAAACTACAGGAAAAAAAAAAAGTGAAGTACTACAAGCATATTATAGAGTAAGATGTAGGATATTTTTACAGGTAAAAATAATTCCATTCATTGCTGTCACATGTAGAAGCTACCAATCAGTTATAAGAAAATAACTTTTCTTTGAATGAGCACTGTTTAACTCAATTAAAAGTGGAGACTTGGCAGAACAGACTTTGCATATTTGTGAAAATCTGAGTTGTTTAAATGGAGTTATATTTTTATTATGAAAGTTTCATAAACATCAGAAGAACCACATTAGTTTATGCATGTTAGTCAAAGTGAAACAGACTGGTCTTCTCATTAATTAATCTTGTTATTTAATGAATAATACCGGTGATGGAGTTACAGAGTTTGTCACAAAGAAACCACAACATGGAAACAGCAAGAGAATAACGATCCTTCTCTCTTTCTCATCAGTATACTGTCTATGAAAGGCTAATACAATTTCAGTACAAAATTGATGGAATTGCAAGAGTGGCAGGAGTATACATAAGAGAGAACGGAAAGGTTTGAAGCGAATAATAATTTTCCCCTCAATTCAAAGCTATTTCTCCTGGATGCAGTCATCTGAATATGATTTCATTTCTTAAAAAGAATTCTCTGTTTATTGTTTTTACCTTTTTAATTTTCTTTAAGGTGATATCCTGTAGAAAAATAGAAAAAGATAGTGCTGGATAATAAAATAGATATCCTAATAGCATTTGAAATGTTACTAGGATGCTAATAGTCAGAAGGTCAGTAAATAATTCATTTGGAGGTTAAGAAACAATGTCATGCCTCTTAAAATATTTTTATGAAAGGGAATGTGAAATCCATTGAAAATTTTGTTGAGATATGCTGTCAGAAATTAACTTTACTGCATTTAACTGCTATCTTGTCAGACTGAACAAAATTCTTAAGTCTATTGAACCAAATGACCTACATACCTACTTGCTTTTCTTCTCTTACCAACTTCTTCCGTTGTTCCACTTTTCTCTAAGAGCATGTCAATAGTGATAATTTGTTCTATAAAATGTTGGAATTAATGGCCAGCAGTGATCAAAGATGAAGTGTAACAGAGACACACAACGGTGACAGACAGATCCTCTTGGGGATACTTGGCAGGATGTTACCAGGGGTCAGGAGCAAGGGGTACTAGTCACACAGAGAGAAGTTCTGTTCCTGGGTAAAAAGTGCAAGATCCCTCTCCTAGGGAAGGAGGGGAGGTGGAAACCATACCTTTTCTACATGTGGTTGTGTGAAGTAGACATGCACAGGGCTCTCTTCCTTCATGTGTTGAGTAGCAGAGCTCACACAGAATTCAAGAATTTGATTATTGGATTTTGATAGAATTCCCAAAGTCAACCCTCCTATTTTACTTTCAGATCTTGAAGTGAATGGTGTGTCATTTCAAATGTCATAAAGTTTGTAAACTAATGGAGATCAACTTCTCTAAATAAGAGAAACACAAAATTAGAAAGTGTTGAAACACTAAGAAAAAAATCCCTTTATTTGCACATGGAAAACTAGTGGTGATTAATTGAGCATCCCAGTAGAAGATGTTGTACTTGGATCAACAGGCCCTTGTACTTCAGGATTCAATAATATGCTATAAATTGCAAGGGACTTTTGAAAATCATCTGGGTAAGTGACTGATTAAGCGGAGTTTATCAATACTATAACAAAATATACTTTTATGCCACTGGTGATTAGCAGTTTGTTGACTTTTTCTTTTTTTTCTCTGTGTATGGATAAAAGTCCAGGAGGCAGGCATAAACTGAAATGAGGAAATAATAATTTTATGAAGTCTCTGTCAGAGTCAGAGAGGTCAAGCTTCCTTTAATTTTTGTCCTGACAATGTTGAAAGGTTCACAGAATCTCAGACATATTTTTAAGCATTTTGTGACTTTTCTTGAATCAAAGCCAAATAAGTAGCAATGAAATAATTCTATAGAATCACCTCCCTTATTCTCTTAAGATTTTATTTTTCTCCAAATACCTTTTTGTTGCTGCTGGTTGTGACAATAAGAGCTCCATTGCATTGAAATAATCATCACACAAGATCCCTGCAAAACAGATGCCTCTAGAAATTCTTTTCTATCTTCTCATTATCATGGGAAGAAGTCCTTCAACCATCTTCAAAAGCCCTCCCAAAAATGTGGTTTAAGCTCATGTACTCATGTCTGTGAGTCACCTGCATGTGCATCTGTGTAGGAAGTGTTGGTCATGTTGGTCATATTGGTCATCATTACCAATTGTTCTTTTGTTTTTCATTTCCAAGGACTTAATTTTGAGCTATCTTCTCTTTCTGTTTACGTTGTAGTGAATACAGCTCCATATGATTAGAGTTGTTCTACATGGCAGTTGGAATCTATTCAATTTAGTGATCTTAACTGATTTTTTAAAGTGTTATTTTTTTGGTCAGGATACCTATTTAGATTTCTGGATTAACATTAGAACTTTCCTTCAGGTTGATAGCTGAGGTACTTTTAGTCCTGCATTTTGTTTCTGACCTTGTCCACTATCAGTGTGTTTGCATTTTAAACTATATGTGAAGTTGGGTGGTTTCAGAGGATAATGGGCAGTTTTAGCAGTATCACACTGTACTGATATGTGTTGTCTCATATTGTTCTGTAATGTGGCTAGATTTGAAATTGTCTGTAAATGTTTAGGCAGACAGTGGGCCTATGTCTGAGAACTGTTTAGGTTCTCAGGATACATATAGATGAAATGACCTTTACTTCCTCTAAACTGAAGAGAAGGAAGGGATTAAATAACTTTGAAAACCCTGTTAGAAACCTGTCATCAGCAAGACTTTTGATGTCTTTGCAGCCTTTCTAGTTTTGAAACTATAGGTCTTGGATGTCTTTTATGGTGTGCTAACACTTTTCTTTTGACAAGTTTAAGGAATATGTACTTGGGAGAAAAAATTCCTATTGTTACCCCAAGTTTTCTACCTTTTGTGGTGAATCCATATCTTTCTTCATTTTGTCTCACAATCCTTTGTATATGGAGCAATGGAGGGGGAAACTAAAGCCAAACAATATGCTAAAAGTTGAAACATACTCAATAGAATTAAAGAACGGGTTGCACACTGTGACTGGTAAAAAAACAGGATCACAGAAAAGAAGACAGGTCAACATGTTACTTGCTGCAGAAATTGAGAGGCAACGGAAAAATGTCTATGCATGTAAGAGAAAGCAAGGGACACACATTAAGAAGCTGGCAGAGTCAGCAGAGAAACAAGCCAAGAAAAACAGATGCCAGATCTAAATACCAATTCTGTAAGGACTGAATCACTTATTCAGCAACCATACATTGACTGCCTACAATAATTGACATGGGTACAATGCTGTTGTCTGCTGGGGGAAGAGATTTTGCATACTCAGATTGAAATTATTCAGAGAGGTCAAAAATGGCTGTGAAATCAAGTCTCTATTTTTTGATCATACAGATACCATAATGATCCAGATGTCTGCCCTTCTACAAATCACTGAGCAGCTCTCTGGGCTATAAACATAGTGTTCAAAACACATTTGACAACTTAAATTACACATCGCTGTCTGATATTTATAATGTATGTATGTGTCCAAATACATTCTCAAATGTATTTGCAATACTTAATATAATCATATCTTTGACAACTTATGCTCTAATGATAAAAGATATAACAGACTGTAAAAACATGGATTAGAATCATCAGTGTTGTGTTCCTTAATCCTATATGGTTTGGAATTAATTGAAAAAGCTACCTCTGATACAAGAAGGCATTGGTTCATGCTCAAAATTGTCAAAGTGATCTTTCACATTTGACTTTGTTTTTAAATTTTACAATGTAGGATGTAGGGACCTTGAAAATCACCAAGTTCATTCCACTGCTCCCATACAGGATTAATTGTTTGACAAACTTTCTGATAACTGTTTGTTTAATCTGTTTCTTAAAGCCTCTAATGAAAGAGACCCTCTGGTCACATTCAGTAAATCCGTGAAAAACAAAATGAACATTGTAAAAAGGGGCCTTTGAGCCATCCAACTTGTGCAGTTAAATAATTACTTGGAGAAGCCTTCACCATGTAGTGCACACTCTGTTCTCTGAACCATTTCTAGTCTTACTGTAGGTGTGGATAGATATAGAAAGAAAAGATACATTCAGAGCAGTCAGTGCAGACATGTTATTAAGCCATAGTATTGCACAATATAGAAAGCAGAAATAAATTGTGTTGATTGCAATTTTTATGGATGATGGTTTTTGAAGTAAGATTTTTTTTTTCTCTTTGACATAGGGAATAATTTTAATAAATATGCCAATATTTCATGTTTATTTTATGTAAAAGTTTGGTTTTTAAGATGGAAGAGCAAATTGTTACAGCTGTTTTTCCCATGCTGAACACTGTTTTTTGTTGATGGTATGTTGGTATTTCAACTGATTTGGATTCTTCACCATTTAGAAATAAGTAAACAACTCAGAGTTTCCACGATATGTACATTAGGGTGTTGTCAGTGAAGATGGTGTAGCTGTATGACCCAAGGTTATAGGTATTAATTTAATATTAAAGAAATATCCCCTTATTCTAATCTTAGAATTAGGGAAACACTGATGGAAACAAGTTGTACCTGCCACTCCAATGCTTAATGTCGAAAGCTGGGTTTGCTTTGGAACTGGTGCTGTATCATTGTTACAGAATGAGTAAGTATTTTCAAAGTTACCATAAGGCAGTACCTAAATGACACAATAATTTTATAACAGTAAAGGAGGAAATAAGTATGATATCTTATAAATGAGTAGCAAATGTTTGTTCTCTAAAAATTATCCATTTATTAAATGTTAAGTCATAGAAGTAAAATGTCAAATTAGATTAAGGTTTCTGCTTATTATAGATTAATAATTTTTCCTTGATACTCTCTTTAAAAGTAGTGTATTGATCATTACACTAATCTAGCTACTAAGTTTGTGTATATTTGAAAACTTATACTTGCATTTTTACCTAATGTGTTGATCTCTTTTATTTTAAACCACTTTGAATGTGTTGCATAATGTTACAAGACAGTTCTGTTTCAGCTGAGATGTGAATAAAATTCAGTCAGTGTAGGATAAAGTGATTCTGATGTTTAGTTTATAAAATACCTTAGGACTGCATAAGAGAAAAGACTGGTAAGATAGCTAGCTTATGTGTATGGCCAGCAAGAGGTTAAATGTTGATGAAGGAAATATGCTCCAAACAAGCCATGTATAGTGAATGGTCACTGTTGGGTAATAAAACTATGGAGATAAACCTTTTGTTTTAAAATTGAGACAAAACTTTATTTCATATTTAAAATTTTACCTGCAGAATTTTTAAGGGGTCATCAGATCTTCAAAATACTTCTCTACTGTGTGATATCTTTGTAGAGGCTGACAAGTTTCTTCTCTCAGTAACCTATATGAAACTTATTCTAAATAATGAAGGGGAAAGGGTTGAAAACAGAATTAAATCCAAGAAAATCTGTTCCCAAATGAAAACTGACTGGAAAAGTATTGCCAATTTTCAGTTTACAGGCAGAAGGAAAAAAAAAAAACAGAACAGAATATTATTTCAACGCAATTGTAAACCCTAATGCATATAGAACAGAAACTCTAGGAAGTGGAAAATGGTAAGAATAATAGAAGTGGAAAATTTTGTCAGAAGAGAAAGGGGGAAGGAAATATAGTCAAAATAGAGGTTTTGGATAATACACACAAAATGTGATAAATAAAAAAACTCCCTTATTAAATCATTAGGAATAGAACTAAAGGTTGCAAGTTATCAAAAGTTTTGAGAATTCATGGAGTAGTTATTTAGACTATATGATGTTCATGGAGTAGAATACTTTGAAGAGACATTTAGAGTTTCACTTGGAGGCATCAGTGATTTACAGCAGTTAGAGAGTCAAGCCAAAGGCCGAGCTGTGTATTGTGTTCAAAGGCATCCACAAGTGAATGGCTTGAGAAAAGGAAGAGCAGGACAAGGTTATAATATGACACTTCTGTCTAATGCTAATTTCATGCTCCAGCTATTTTCACAGTAGAAATCTCCTGAATCTATGTGGTTCTATTTATTTGCAACCCACCACAAATTTCACATCCATAAACCTTTTCAGTCTCCCAAACAACCAACCTATATGAACTTCTTGCATCCACATTAGTTCTGGTGAGGTCTTTTTCACCTACTCTTGTCTGTCTTGAAACATGTTCCTACTGGCTCAATTTGACACCTCCTGTTTCATGCACTGGAAAACAGAGTGAAAAATTTCTGTCCATCTTATTTTATGCCACTTCTAGTTTTATTTTCCTCTGTCATTTCTCCTTTCAGTTTTTTTCTTTTCCACAAGAAAAAGTGACAAATGGCTTCATAGGTAAGTATACAGAAATCACAAAGAAGAGACATTTTCTAATGAAATAAAAACATACTTAGAAAGTGTCAAAGTTTTCTAACATGTGGGAAAACTTAAAGTACAATTAAAACCTAAAGTACAATTACTTAAGTACAATGATGCTGATTATCAACTTAGCATGCACCAAAATAACTGGAGAAAGATGTGACATGTTCATGGAGATTTAGCCAGATCAATATACTTATGATTTTATTGGTTGTATGTAAAGTTTTATGAGATAATTTCTGTTCCTTTTGCCATGCAGAATTGAGCAACTAATGAAGAGTGCTTTCTCTGTCTATGTTTTTATTTTGGTATACCTAGTTTAACTAGTGCTACATAGTTTACCTTAACTAGATCTGGGTTAAGTACATAATTGTTGAGCTAATTAACTTTCTGATCACATAAACTGAAATATTTTGTGTTTCATTTTTCTTCTCTTCCAAAACATTTGTAATAAGTTTGTTGTTATGTTTTTCATATCTTCTGCTTTTTGTCCCTTCACTGCAGAACTACCAGCCTTTTTTTTTTTTTCCCTATTTTACATAATCTGAAGTCCTTCCTTTTATACTTTTTCACTCTTATCAGTTTGAGGCTGTTTTAATGATTTACTCCATATTATTTAAGTCCACAATTATCACCACTCAGAATGACTCTGAAGAAAAGTTGAGCCTCCTGTTATAGCAGTATGGGAGGCATTTTACAATTACTGCCATTTGTCACTACAAAACCAGCTTCAGAACAGATTCTAAGAGAAGCAAGTGAACCTCAAAAACCTCCCACCAGCTAAAAAATTCTCTCTTATGGAGTCCCTTACCTAATCAAGGAAAAACTGTGCCCCAAGCATACAGACATTCAAAGACATCAGAGTTTATGTTTCAAGACCAAATTCCAAATGTATCCAGTTTCCTATTTATTCTACATGCCTTTTCTTGACTAGTGATATTTTAGGGGTTTAGTAACTATTTAATTTGGTCACTACATTATTTGAAAGACTTGAAAACTCATTCTTCTTCCTCATATCTTTTTCTTTTCCTCTTCTCATAAAACCCTAATGAATCCTAATGAAGGCATTGTTTTATATTGATAAAAAGCTCCAACCTTTAGCTGGTTTTGGAGCTCCCAAATCTTAGTCCTTGAGAAGTTTCTAGGAAGCTTTAGTATTGCTACTTTTTCATTTTTAAAAAACAATGTTTTAAAGAAAAATAGCTTTAATTTCTCTCTCTGACATGACACTGTCTGTCTTCTCACCCCAGCAACCTATGCAAACAATCTTACTCATTTCCACCTGAGGACAAATATTTCTAGACAAGAGACACATCAAATCTTTTTCGTCCCTTTTCCTTTTCTTCCTTCCTACAAAGACATAAAGAAATTCAATGAAAAATAAATGCATGAACACATAAACACTCAGAGGACATAGCAACAAATTGCCCTGAAGGAAAGCAGTACAGAGAAGGAAACTGAAAAGAACCATTATGCTTATCAGTGGTCAGTGACAGGCAGTGATCAGGGAAACAATAGCTTGTTTGAGGTAGTCAACCCAGTACATGGCAAGGTCTTCTGGACAAACCCTGCTAGTTTGCTTCTGTGATTTTACTTATGAAGGCTGAGTTTCGTAGATGGCCAATCTGTTAACCAACCTCCATTATACCATTTAACCTTCTATATTTTAACACCAGTAACTCTCTTGAGAAATTTTAAAGAGACATTGCAGCAGGGTGAAAAGGACTGGTGTTTTTTGTGGTGTTTTTTTTTGTTTTGTTTTTTTTTTTTTTTTTTTTTTTTTTTTTTTTTTTTTTTTTTTTTTTTTTTTTTTTTTTTTTTTTTTTGCCAAAGTTGTTGTAACTCAATGTAAGAAAACAAGAACCCAGAACCTGAGACATCTTCTATTTGTGTGGTCTAGAGCTGTGACTCTGATGTTGAAAAAGGTGGAGGTTACCTGTTTTGTTGCTGACAGAATGCAGATTGGTTCAACCTTAGATTGCACTTCAGTGTAAATTCCTGGACTGCTTAAATAATGTCTACATTTTCCTGGAATGAACCAGGAAGGAAGATATAGTTTATGATGTGTCACCTACATGACTTTGAGTCACTCTGAGATCCAGCAATCCACTCAGGAACCTAAGATACAACCAGAAAGGATTTGTTGAAACTAAAAAAAAATCAAACACATCTTCACATGCATTCTGAAACTAAGAATATGTCAGAAGATGACTTTTTTTGGGGATTTTTTTCACTCTTCCTTTCCAGAACAAGGAAAGCTGTGATGGGTTGGTCTCTGCTGGTAACCAAACTTACACTCATCCATTCTCTCCCTCCCCCTCCTCACTAGGACAGGGGAGGAAGAGGAAGAACAGGAATTAGAAACATTTTGGATCAAGATGGAGACATGAAGATCACTTATCAGTTACCACTATGGGCAAAACAGATTTGACTTGTGATGAATAAATTTACTGTCAGTGAAAATAAACATGCAATTACTGATTTGGGTATTGGAAGGAAAAGAATTATAAACCAAACATTTACACACTTAGTGAAAACACCTTTCCCTCCCATTTTTCCCATGCTCAACTTCACTCCAAATTCCTCTTTCCTCCTTTGTTATTGTTATAGGTTACATGCAGTCTCTACAGTGAGGCAACGCACCATGCCAGGTTGGGAGGGGGAGACGGGTATGTGAGAGTTATGATGAGTACACAGTATTTTATTCCTCCACTCCTCACTTTTCTTTTTTTATTTCTCTGTTCTGGTGTGGGATCTCCACAAGTTGCAATCCTTTCCTGTAAGTGCCTGTTCTTCCATGGAGCACCTTCTCCTCTGACTTTGGTGTTCCCTTTGTTGTTCCTTACTTTTAATTCCTTCCTCCTTTTTCTCCCCAACATTTTCTAACCTGTCTTAAATATGTTTTTCCAGAGGCACCAAACACTATGGATGATGGGTTCAGCTTTGTCTAGTAGTGGATCTTTCACAGAACCAGCTGGAATTGACTGTGTCCAGTACATGACAGTCCTCAACTTCTTGTCACAGAGGCCACTACTGCAACCTGCAAACTACCAAAGCAAGGCTTGTCATTTACATCCATTCCATGAGCAAGGGAAGCAACATTTCCCAATGCAATAGAAAGATGCTCTTTATAGAAGGAAGATTAGGAGAAGAGTATATTCTAGGAGGGTACTGTTCCGCTTTGGCCTTATTATTATTAGCAGCAATTCCAGTTCTCAGACTTCTGCCTTCCTACCTCTCCCAGAATTGATCCTTATTTTCAAAAGTAAATGGAGCTCATTTGTTCTTAGTTTTAGTAGTTGCTATGTTGTCAATGTCTTAAATAATCTGATATTTTAAAATGCAGAAATATGTTTTAATAAATTCTAATCAGACTTCTTGGAACTAACTAACAGAAAGCAGACTATGATTTAAAGCTTTGCTTTGTTTTCTTCTTAATGTCATTTTTTTGTAATCTGGGCAAAAAAAATCATATGAGTTTACAGGCAGCTTCAAATGATAGTAGGTTCTTTGTACAGTGCAGCAGAGAAAGCCACCTGAGTTCATGTTAGCTTCACTTATTCACTTTTTTTTTTTTTTTAAGCAAATATGTCTTGCAGTATGTGAATACTTAGAATTCCAGCCTGGTACTTCTGTGATAAAAGTCAACAGGATGTGGCTGATACAGGAACAAGCTATTTTTAGGTAAAACTCCTGAAGTGGGATATAATTTTAAGTCTTCTCTGCATTTTTATTTCTGAAGCTGCTTGCCAGGCTTGAATGATACATGATTAATAATTGAGCACATCATATTTATACATTCCTTTACAATAGATGCATGAGAAGAAAACAGAAAATTAAAGGGGCGGGGAGGAAAAGGCAAAAATATGCTTCTGTGGTAGATCCTGCCAGAAAGACATGAGCTAGTAGTGATGTTAACTTTTCTGCCAATCTACATGTGTTTAATCTTTATGTATTACTTTCTACATTCCTTCATTTTACTACATATCCCATTCTCTCTTGCTCAAATGAATCTGTAGAAAGACTGTTGTAACTGCATTAGGATTAAGGCTATACTGCTTGTTTCTTCTAAAGGACGTGCTGTTTAATGAAAATAGAAGTCAGTTTAAAAGTCAATACAAAGTAATGCTTCTCCTAGATAGGGTACTGTGTAGTCAGAAGGATGGCCCAATATCTTCGGCTGAGTTGACACTTCCATGTTTTCTCTGCATGTGACAATTACCTGCTTGTACTTCTAACCAGAGCAAAATAATATTGTCAATCAACTTCATTACAACATCTTATGACTTTTAAAATCAAAAGTCTCAGTTACACTGCCTTAAAGTGCTAGTGCTAATGTTCTACTTGTGGTATACAGAAGTAACCACCACATCCACCTTTCTTCCCACTAAGAATTGCTGGCAGTAAATTGCGTATAAACCACCAAAGTCTTCCTTATGGACCTTAAAAACTTCTACAGAGAAGGCTAGGAAAAAAAAATTGATTTTCACAGACAAAAAGGAAATAAGATCTATAGTGTAAAAAACTTGAAAATCTTGTAACAAGATTTTATTAGAAGGAAGTCTAAAAGGGCATAATACAGCATGACAGTCTTAACAACTCCCATGATCCTATCTGTGTTCCCAGTCAGAAAAATCTCTGAAAACTCTGCACCATCCTTTTCTGTAAGGGAGACCCTTACTTCAGTATTTTGTGTTCAGCAATAGCCATATCCATATGCTTCTCAGCGATAAGCAGAAATATTCTCCCAGAATAATTTGCTCATGGAACTATATGTTTAAAGGTTATTTTATTCCCCACCAGCAGTAGATGTTTTTTACCTCTAGTTTTGAAACCTGGAGATTTATATTCACAGAATCATAGAATAATTTAGTTCGGAAAGGACCTTTAAGATCATTGAGTCCAACCATTAACCTCACAAGTCAAGTCCACTATTAAATCACGTCCCTAAGTGCTACATTTAAATGTCTTTTAAATACCTCCAGGGATGGTGACTCAACCACTTCTCTCGGCAGCCTGTTCCAGTGCTTGACAACACTTTTGGTAAAGTAATTTTTCATAATACCCATTCTAAGCTTTTCCCGGCACAAATTTAGGTAATTTCCTCTCATCCTGTTTCTTGTTACTTGGGAGAAGAGACTGACACCCACCTGGCTACAGCCTTCTTTCAGGTGGCTGTAGACAGCGATAAGGTTTTCCCTAAGCCTCCTCTTCTCCAGGCTAAACATCCCCATCTATCTCAACTGCTCTTCATAAGTCTTGTGTTCCAGACCTTTCACCTGCTCCACTGTCCTTCTCTGGACATGCTCCAGCACCTCAGTGTCTTGTAGTGAGGGGCCCAAAACTGAACACAAGGATCTGAGGTGCAGCCTCACCAGTGCCAAGTGGAGGAGAATGAACAGTTCCTCAGTCCTGCTTGCTACACCCCCTTCTACTGGATCTGTAGGTTTTGTTATTGTCCTTACAAACGTTCAGTTTCACTAGGAATTTTACTATCTATCTTTAGCAAACATATAGTTACCTTTTGGGATACAGTGGTTTCAGTCATCCAGCTTCATTTTGAGTTAGGGTTTTATCTCATTACCACGTACTGGTATTGGTGTTGTCAGAGATAATGAGTCTAAACCTGCACCTAGTTTTTGTCAGCAACACACAGCAGAAACATGTGTCATGTAATTTTATTAGTTTCAGAGCTTATTATGTAGCTTGTTTCATATATGTCATAATATATTTTCTACTTGTTTGCCCATTAACCACTACAATGGTGTTTTCATTGATTCTGACACATTGAGTACATTCCTCTTTCTCTGGAATGTCTGCAGTTAGTACAGAAACAAATTATTCCAGTGTTAGGTTCAGCTCACTTACACTAGGTACTTAGTGTTCTGGTTCATTGGCAGATCTCGTGTCAGCTTCCTGAATGGTTTCCTTTGAAATTCCCCCCAAAGATGTCTGGGAATTTTTTTGAATGACCAGATGTAACTGTGATAGTTTTAAAACATTTCTGCCACTCTCCTTCCTTGTAATCACCCTACAGCTAGGAAGTCAGAGCCTTCAAAGATGAGCTAGTGAAACAGATTGCACAAGTGCTTCTTATCCACTTCAGCGATATTTATATGGCTTAATAGCTTAACTTACTGAAACAAAATACAGAATACTATTGAGAAATCCACAATAAAATGAGGACAAATAGGATATTTTAGAATTTGCAACAAGAATGTTTCTAGTAGAGCCTCCTTTTTGGCACATGTGATGGCAAATCTTCCTGAACAGTGTCTCAAATATGACTTGTATATAACAAACTCATCATACTGTATAATGTGTTGTATTTCTTTTCCTAAGGAAAATTTGCTTTTATTTGTAGAACGAATATACTTGAAGGCCCTCATACTTCCATACAACTGCCTGCAGTTTTTTTCTGTGTTACATATTTCTGAGGACTACCAAAAGCCTAATCTGATTAAAAAGGAAAACTGAATAAGATGAAAAATTGCTGCATATATATCTCCAGAGTAGAATTGATATTACTGCTGTAACTACTGATTGTAGAAAAAGTGTGAAGAAAACACAGGTCTTCCATCTGCTTCATCCATCTGCTGAGAAAAGAAACTGTTACCATTAGCAGGTCTGTCTCTAAAATTCTGTGTGTTCTGTGTACATTTTCATGACAAATGTCTTAAATACCTGTATTGTTTACCTTTATATATGACCATACTAAATAGCATTTAATTTACCAAATTACAAGCAGCTCTAAGATTACTATTTTTTGAAACAAATGCATAATAGAGCATAATCCCCAGATCTCTAATTAAATTTCATGATTATAAATAATGACTCTTTAAAATGCCTAATAAAAGAGTTTTGGTTAGAGTTAGATATGCTTGATAATTCTTATTTAATATTGTTTTGAGTGAGGATTTTGGCAAAATGTGTCATTTTGACTTGTCTTTATTTACTTGTGTTTTATTTCAATGTTGACATACCTTTCAAAAGAAATAAAACTGGGATTTAAAATTCAGGTCAAATAATATTCTCCAAGTCCATCTGTGGAGGTTAATGCTAAGGAGGGCAGTTTTCTTGAATTTATATGTTAGAAGCCTTAGTCACAAACACAGGAAGTAAGGGAGACTCCTGAGGAATTTTGTTCAATATTCTTTATTTTTCAGTATTTTCTATTTTATTTGTCCCATGGGTTAGGAGCTTGAGAAGGGGAACAACTTTTCTAGTTACTCAAACCCTGTCCAGAGGTGAGCCCAGCCTATATCTAGCAGCTCCAGGCATTCAGCTTTTTCAGAATCCAGACAATGCCAGATATTCTGCCCTTGTGCACAGTACTCTTGTGTAAACTGAGTGGGTCTTGTGGTTTGCACAAGATTGGCAGCAGTACTGCATCCATTATTTCTGCTGCTGCATGTGCATAAAAAGTTCTTTCAGAATTTATTCCTTTGCTGAGTCCAAGAAGTATACTGGAAAGGTTAAAGACAAAGGTCAGATCACCATCACCAGCATCACTCCAGGAGTTTTCCCTCCTCACCTCCTTTCCCCAGTATTTTGGATTCCTCATTAGAATGAACTCCAGGCCATGAGATTTATGTGTGGGTTTTTTTGGTTGGTTGGTTGGGTTTTTTCCATTAATGCAAGTAGTTCTTGTACAAAGACAGCTTTAGAATACTACTGGTGACTTTTTAGGCCTCTTCTGTTAAGTACTAAGAACTATTAAAAAAACCCCAAACAAACAAAAAAACCACACCCAAACAAAAAAACAAAACAAAACAAAACAAAAAGAAACCAATCCCAAACTATCTACAACATTTATGAACTATGGAAACATTGCCTCACTTTTTAAAAGAAAACTACCTAAGGGATGTAAGAAGGCTTTTTCTATTGAAAAGCTAAAAATAATAATAAAAAATAAATTTAGGTACAGAATATTGTTGTTCTGAAAAATATATTAATTTCCTGGGTGCCCTCATCCTTAATAAAGTGTGGGGCAGTGCTGGTGGAATGGAAAAACCTTAAAGTCTCTTTGGGACAGCCATTGTGCAGTTGCAAAAGGTGGGCAAAACCTTCCCCTGTTCAAAGTCCTAATCATTCGGAAGGCTCACAGTTTTGGAAGTAAAGCCTTTGCATTTTGCTAGAGAAATTTCTTTCAGTTTCATTGAGAGTTTCACCTTGTTACAAAGTTGAATTATCAAAGTCATTTTTATAGCAGTGATTTGGTTTGTTAATCCCTGTGAAGGTTCTTCATTGTTGACTGTTGTAGGGAAACAGAAGAATCATGCCTTCTGTTTTCTTTCTCTTACGCATGATTTCAATTAGTAGGTGGAACAACTAAGATCCACCTTTCCCTGACTTTTTTTCAGTGCTTAGCTCCATTGAGTGGATAAAATATATGAACAAAAATAATGTTTCTTGTGCCCAAATTACCAAAGAAAAAGACATTAAGGTGGTTTAGTAAACATGTTGACATTTATTTTTGATAAAGTGTAGATTCCTTCTTTTCTATTATGAGGAAAAAGCAACATTTTCAAAATTGGAACCTGTACTGGTTAACAATCAAAAACTGAAGGGTATCATTGGTGATCAGAAAAATTGGCACCTGATTTTTAAAGAAGTGATTTAAAGGGTCTGTTAAATCATTTTATATGGAAAATAATCAGCAGCAATAAACATAATCTTCTATCAGAAGTAACAAAAGAAGTCATTGTCTCCTTCCTTCTCAATTGAATATACAAGGATATTATATATAATATATATAACTTTGCTTAAAAATCTAAACCCCATATAATCTAAAAGGTTATAGTTATATAAATCATTTTGATAATGAATTTGCTTCTTCAAAGTTTTAAATGAAATAGTTTATTTTAAGCAGCTAGTTTCAGACCCAATCTCTTGTTTTTCAACTTCATGGCACATAAAAACAGGAAAGGAATTAATAGTCTATTATGTACATTTTGGCTTCCTTTTGAGCTGTCACTCAAGTAAATAGTCTCATATACAGTTAAGACCTCTTTCTCTGCTGTACTGTTAACGTAAAGGATCATTTCAATAAGTAAATTCATTTGCTCCCATCCGAAGACCATCTCTACTGTCAGAATGATATAGCTGGAATTCAAATTACATACATATATCAAGATATTTTGAGGTGATAGGGCACTGTAGACTTTTAGACTATTGTTAAATGAAAAGATTCTCTTCCCCCCCCTTTTTCCTTCCCACATTCGTTCATAACAAAGGTGACATTATTTTGACCTCTTTCACCTTGTAAGTAGTAGTAAGATATACAGTATTTTGGGGGTTTTAGAATGAAATTTTGGTAAAAAAAATAGTAGATAAAGGAGAAAATGAAATAAGATTACAATTAAACTTGACTCTCAAGAAAGTACACTTCTGTTTCTTTGCAAATATCTCTAACAATTGATTGTGATTCACTGTCACAAACCAATTTAACTTTCTTCTTTTATTGATTGGATGAAGAGCACTAGAAAAATATGTATAATCTTTCAACTATGTCAATAAATTTACAAACTTTATGAGTGTGAAATCAAATAAGTAAACATTTAGGAAGCTCAGAACAAAAGACTGAAGGCATTTATGGTGAGTTGCATTAAGCAATTTACTGTGTGCTTAGCATTGTGTATCTGAGCTAATCATGAACATTAACCTTTAAAAATTTATATTGCAAAGTTTGATGATCCCATTCTTGGTTTCTAATGCTTTTAGCTCTATAAACAACATCTGACATTTACCAATAATAATGTCATGGACAAATATTCCCATATCCTGCAAATGACAAAGGTTTGAATTGTTTTGTTTTCTTTTGTTGTTGTTGTTGTTTTGTTTTGGTTTTGTGTTGGGTTTTGTTGAGGAAGGAACCAAAGACTGACAACAATGTAGTCTTTTTTTTTTTTTTTAACCATGAATTACATTATGAATGATACATCACTGTAAAGATCATTAGAAGTTAAATGTTTAACACTGAAAAATATTAGGTAAACATTCAGATTTTTGCAGCAACCACTGTCTTCTCATTTTATTTGAATGAAGTAAAAATACTTTAAAGAATGAATGTGAGAAAAACTGTTTCTAGGGCATGTTCTTATCCTAAATCACAGCAGCACTGAATTATGTGCATAAGTATGAACCTCCAAGTAGTCCTATTGCATTTGCTATGGTGTCTCATATGTTTATACCTATTTCCGATCTTTGCCTTCAGGTATTGCTGTAATATAAATTTTCAATGTTGAGAAAGGAAAAAAAATAACAATAACTCATGATAGATTCAACATTTACTATGCACATTTTCTAGTACCATTCTTAATAGGAGCTCTGAGGATCTTAAATTAGTCTTCAAAGTTTTTTAAAACCTATGATCCAAGCATCCCTCATACTGCACAAATTTGAAGAATCTACAAAAGGCAATTAAGAAAGGAAAGTTCAAACGTTACACAACAACTTGTATGCATGAAATTCTAGAGTTTAAAGGAATATGGGTAACCATAGAAAAGGAGAATTTTTGAGACAAGTTCTGTTCCTGTACTAATCATTGGGTAGTAGTACAGAAATGCTACAGATCTTTTTTTCATGTAATACAAAAATTGTCATTGACATTTAATGGGGCTGAAATACGTTTCTTTTAGCCTGATGATATATCAGATCTCAAAGTGTGTGAATGTAGATGGCATATACCTTGAAATACAGAAGTGTTTCATACTCACCCATGTTTATTCTCCCATTAAAAACAAAAACTCTTGGAATGATCAGAAGAGAGTCACATATACAATGAGGTCTTGGGGACACAAAGTGAGAAGCATGAGTCATGTAAATGACCATCTCAAAACTGGACTGTTTTTGTAGAAAGGTTAAGGACATTGGGTTGAGAGATTTTACCGCTGCTAGATGTAAATTGACCTTTTAGATACCTAACTCAAGGAAGAGCTTTAAGGATATAATTGAGCTATTTATTTTATCAATTAATATTAATAATCAATTAATATTAAAACCAGACTAGAACTGCATCAGACATAAAATGGCAGTAGTTGCACTTCTATACCAAATATTATTCATAACTCAATTATTAGAAAAAAGGAGGACTACTGAAGCTTGACTTCCATTATGAGAATTTCTAAAAGCTTCAGGATGATTCTCAATTTAAAGAATGGCTGTTAAGATGTTAAGACACAGTATAGAATTTAGAAATGCAATACTTTCTCCTGTTAGGAGATGCTGCTGCTGCATCCACACATATTGGCAGAAACTCTAAAGCTGTGTTCTAGATCTACAACCAAAAAGGCTGGATCAACCTCATCTGAAGAATTTGAGTGTGTTATCCTGTGGAGGGAGGAAAGAGAACAATTATTGTATCCCCTTAGCATCTCATGCAAGATTTAAAGGTTTTTCAAAAGTCCTACAGATTTCTTTTGGCCTTTTTTTGCTGACACCGTTGAACGATAGCAGATCACAATATGGCACTTTCTTTGGTAATGTTTCCTGACTTGCATCACACTAGGCCAAGTGGTATATAATTCTGCTTTTAATTTCATCTGGTTCTTTAATCTGAATTCCTAGTACATGATGATTTATATCCAAGCAGCTAACAACAAAAAGTAAAACACAATATCAGTTTAACATAGTAACAACTTTAACATTGTGAGGCTAAGGTGCTCTATAAAATGCCATATGTCACTGTGGGAAGTTTATATGACTGTGCATACATGGAATATTCATACAAGTTATATGGATACAGTAAACCAACAAAAAACATGTGACATTAAGCATTTGGTTCCATTTAAGACCAATGGAAACTGAAGTTTCCTAACTCCAGGCAGGAGGTTCTCATATCATCCAGTCATAGGTATCCATTTCATGGCGAAAATATAGATTTCTCTCCAGAGTTCTGAAAGTTTGGTTCCATATGTGTGTTCAGAAAGTGAGACTTCAAAAAGATCTGACTTTTGGCTCTTTTCTTTCCTTTACATCCTTTCTGATCCACAATATCGGTTTTGATTCAGAACATTTAAATGGGGACTGGTTTTAATCTTTTTATCAGTAGGCTGTTATTACTTTGAAGCAAAACCTTTTCAATACACAACATTCCAAGTGGGTCATAAATTTTATGTTAATATAGAATAAATTTTTCCTTTTTCTCCAACAGTTATTCCTGATTTGTCTGTATTAGACCAAATGTCTTCTCTCTTTATTACTGCATAGTCTAAAATCAAAGAAAGACTGACTATTCCCAATCAAGTTTATAGTACAGAATGTATGGAAAATTAGATCAGCACAAATATGTTATCTTCTTTTAAACCATCAGTGTTCCAAAGTGTTCATTCTATGCCCCTAATTTGTGTTTGCTCTTTGAAAGTAATGGAGGAGGACTTCGGACTTATGAGAATTTTGAGATAAAATGCTAGGCTTGTTGACCACACACTAGTGAGATATTAAACATATGTTTTTTTACTTCCTTCTACATTACTTACAAAGTGGGGAGAAATCACGCATCTGACCACATTGCAGCTACTTAATGCTGCTGTAAATAGATCATAATAAGCATGTGGTATATGTGATTGTCTGTGCTGATAAATGAAAGGGTGTGAATTTTTCAGCATCAGTGGAAAGAGGGGAACAGGAAAAAAACCTTCCTGATTGCAGCTGCAAATGGTAGCAATTTTTCCTTCCTGAATTAATGAATGTAATTCATGTAATGCATATTACATCATTCAACAGCAAAATTCTCATGTTCATTTCACAGACAAAAAGTATTTTAATTAAGAATATCAATGAGTAATGAAAATCCACTTCCAGAAAAAGCAAAGAAAGATGCTTCTTTGGCCATGTAGAAGGAACTGTGATGCAAATACAGTTTGTCAGTGTAATAAATTCACTTTCCTATAACTCTTTACCAAAAGAACCTTCTTTAACATGTTCTGGTTTATTTGTCTGTTTTCTGTTTCTAACGTTCCTTTACATGCAGTACTTGACTGCAAACCTGCATTTTACAGTCTCTAGTGATCAAATCACTTCATCTTCTATAAACATCACAAGTCAAAAGAGCTTTCAGCATCTGAACTCCAACACAACATACAAACTAAAATAATTCATTGTCTAGAGACCATAACAAATTTTAATGTGCATTTACAGAGTAAACAGAGGGCTGAAGGGAGTCAAACCAGTCAAAGTGAAGATATGTATTACAAAATCCACACATTACTGAATTACAAAGTAAAAGTGATGTTTTGTCAAAAAAAAAGAAATAAAAATGTCTCTTGGTGGCACGACATATAGATAATATTAAAAACTGGCTTGCATGAGGACCAAAGTATGTCTACTCTGAAGTTATATCACACAGACTGTAAGCAATTTACAGAATTTAAGTTAGTTTTGCATATACAGGAGTTGCAAAATTAGAGAAAACACACTGAAATATAGAACGCACACACACAAAAAAAAGATGTATATATATAAACCTCCACACAATCATCAGGGGTTGGCCTAAGTCTGGAATTGCCACCATTGAACAAGAAGCAAACAAAAAGACAGGAAAAAACCTCACAGGGGAAGAAAAATAATATATTAAAAAGAGGGAAAAAAAAAAGGAAAAACAAAGCACCTCAAAAGAAAAATACCCTCATTTGTTTTTCAGAAACAACATCCTCTACTCTTCTGAGCTGTTTTGTAGAATTAATTTTCTCCTCTCTATTTCTTATGCCAAAAAAAAAAAAAGAAAAAGGGAAAAAAAAAGGCTTTTTGATAAAGTTTTTGTGTATTTTATTTGAGTCGATGTTAAATCACTAGGGTTTGTTTCATTATTTGGCCTCTTTTTGCTTCCAGGCTGGAATGGTTCTTTCAGTGTAGGAAACCAAATGTCATCCATGGTTAATTCTGTAATACTGATGACTTGCAGGCCACCCCCTGAGAAGTCAAGGATGAGGCTTCTCCTTGCCAAAAGAAAAGGAAACTAGGTCTTGCTGTTACAAAACGTTTGATTACATCACACCAGTTCTCTTCAAATAAAATATCAGTGATACGCCAAAGAAAATAAGATATATCAAGAAAACATGTGGTATCCTCTTCTTTTTTTATAATATTTATTTTATTTTACTTTATTTTATTTATTTAGTAATTTTGTTTGTACTTCCTGAAGAAGGTGCTCCTTGTGTAGAGATTTAGAGTACATTGGGTGCAGAGTGGTGGTTGGAGGTTAGGGTCAACTTTGCTGTCCGCTCCGTGGATTTTACAGGCGATTTGCTCTTTGCTTTAAGAAGAGAAAGTGATATTGGAAAAAGTCAGCACTTTTAGATTAAAGCAAAGCACCCTTCACAAAGCCACAAACAAGAAGCAGGACAGAAAGTCCATGGCTTGTAGCTATCCTCGCACCTGCGGAAGAAGTTATAAGATATTCGCTCATCTTGCAGATTTCCAATGCTCCTTATAAGGCTGTTTTAAACATATACATTTATATATTTAATTAGCTCGCCAGGTTGGCTCTGGTGCCCATGAATGTCTTGGCATGCACTGCAAATAACAACACATACAAAGTATTTCAGTCCCAGGGAGGGGTTTTTTTTTCTTTGCTTTTTTTTTCTCATCTGTCTTTTTAAACAATGTTACCCAGTGAAAACATATACTAAGAGGAACAAACACAAACACCTTCCATCTCAGAGTGTTCTTTACAAAATCATTTCCAGCATCACATCATTGACTGCTAACAACAAAATTATGAAGTAGCTAAAGACGTTTTTTTTTTAAACTGGAGGAGACCCGGCAAATGGCTGTGCTAATATTTAAAAGGGGAAACAGATTGCCAGAATGTTTGTATTATTTATTTTTGAGAAACTATATTTTCCCAGAGGTTTGGGTTTTTTTAATAAAGCTATGAAAACAATGTTACATATAATTATTTCTAAACACATGACTTTATATTTAAGCATGCTAGCACGAAAAAAACATTTAGGATTAGACTAATTAAACTGAAATGTTCACACACCAAGAATGTAAGTATTTAGATGTCTTACATACCAAGTCTCAGTGCTTGATAACTCCCTATATCCTATAGAATCACATTCCAAATTTGAAACATATTACTTGAGGTGAAAACTATAAATTTAGTTTGGTGCTATTAACAGAAGTTCCAATTATATCAGGTTAATGCATGATCAATAGATTTTACATCTGAGTTGTATATTTGAAAAGTATTAATGTTATTGATAGTTACAGGCATCAGTTCTACAACAAAGTAATAATGGTGTTATAAGCAGTCCATGATTATGATGGACTTATAATAAATAGTTATTAAAAAAAATCTATTGATCATGTATAAGCCATTTTTGTAAAGAATTTATTATTAAACAGGATGATGGATTTCATTGCAGCCCCAAAAAGCACATTTGTCTTCTCATCAAGAATATACACAATGAAAGCAAAAAAGACAGGAAAGTGTTCATTTTTTAAAGTTTGCAGATTTTTATCAATAGCACAGTTTCTTTGTATCTGCTAACTTTGCTTATAAGTGTAGCAAAAAGTATTTCTGTTCTTATCTTTAGTAAACTTTTCCCTTTCAAAAATAGGGATTAAACTAAATTCCAGATTTTAGATGAACACTGCTTACTTCAGTGAATACATCATGTGAGAAGTTGCATCCATAGTGGTTGCCATAAAACACTTTTAGTCCTCTGTCACATACACAAAACCTTCTAAGTAATCTGTGATTTCAATTATCTGTGTGTGAACTGAATCTGTAAATGAATATTAGCTTTAAAATGGAAATATATCTCAAAGACATTACTGAGATTTTTCAAAGAAGTCCAAGGGAACTCCGAACTTAGTTCCTGCTGAAAGAAGACAGGAGTGGGAAGCCTACCTCTCTCTTGCCCATCTAACAATGCTACCTGCATTATTACTTGAGCAATATTCAAGTACACTGCAGTACTTTTCTGGGCTTCTCAAAACACTTGCTCTGTATTAGGAACAAGCAAACACACAAGCAAATTGGCTGTAACTTCTTTCTGGGGGTTGTTCTCACACAGGTAGTATCTACAAACTTGAACTCCAGGGTTGAGGTCAGTTTGGTTTCATTGCAGCATGGATTTGTTCTCTCTTTTACATAATGTGTAAAATTTGTAATTTGACAGATTTTTATAAATTTTCTTTCCCTAATGACATTAGCAGAACTCACTTAGATCATTTCCTGATGTATTCAATTTTCACTTGTTTTATTCCATTGAAATGAGGTTTTTTTGATTGAATTAGGGAAATACATGGCTCAAGACCGCCCTAAAGAGGTCTTTGGAGATACATTTCCTTTGCACAAAATATGTATAATGCACCTCAGAAGAATCTCTAGGGTATTTTTTAAAAGAGCTTTTTTAACAATTAATGGTGTTGCAATTTGAGAATTTGAAAGCTATAATGTGTGGAGAAGAAACAGTATGATATAAAATAAGTTTGACTTAAAAATATTTTCAGGAAAAAGGCTCTTTGATTTTTGGTGGGTTTTTTTTTCTCTTTTCAATATGACAATCTACAGATCCCCAAATTAGGGGGTAATATATAATACAAACCCACAATAACCTTTTAATTTGTAATGTTCAGTTTCTGCATAAATCATGGCCTCCCTCCAACTGCTCTACATGCATGTTCTTCTCTAAACAGCAAGTCTGATTTTCTTTATCTTGCAAGGGATTTAGGTTAGAGTACATGCAGTGAATGCAAGCTAAGGCAATTCTGAACAATTCTGAGAAAAAATTAGGGAAAATACAACTAAAACAATTTCAGCTTCAATGTGAGGAAAGAGGCTATTAAGTTTGTTGGAAAAAACTGTCCTCTGCAAGGTTTTGGGAACCAGTTAGTATATCCTAATCTGGTTTAATAATTTCCAAGATGCTGTCTAACCCAATTTACAATAAAATTGCAAATACAGTGACATATACAGATACAAGGTGTGATCTCACCTTTTCAGTGATGTTTTATGGAATAAAATTGAAGTTTAAGTATACTCAGGTTTCTTTTTTTCCCAGAGATGTGAAAAATAATTGGGTGGTTTTTTTTCATGAACCCAAGTATTTCTTTAGCTTTTGGAAGAGTGGAAGCTGCCATTGAAGAATAAGGACATAGTGGAAGTGAAAGTAGCTTTTTTAGACTTTTTTCATTTTTCTGTTCTGTCATACTTGCTCATATTTTATTTTTTTTTCTCTTCAAAAAAGATAAGTGAACAAAAATATTCAGAAATTTCCATTTTGACTTCAAATCTGAAAGTCATGGGGTGGTTAAATCAGAGACTCAGTTCCACCATTTTAGACTTATGTCAGAGGCAAGGTACACATCAAAATCCAAATTAAAATATCTTGAAAATTAAAATATCTTGAAAATTAAAATATCTTGAAAATTCAGAGTATCCAGATACAGATTTTTTTAATGCAGATGTGGTTTAAGTGTACTGTTCTGACCAAGACTTGAATCACTGGAACTGTAAGCATAGTAATATAAGTTAAACCCTGTCTATCTGGTAGGGGATTTGATAAATTGATTACTCATTACCTCTCCATTTCAAGCATTATTTTCTAATAACATAAGGACAGCTAAAAGAAATTTTATTGCAGGTCAACAACACTGGGTAAAACGGGACTGCAATTATGTAACCCTCAAAAACAGTAACTCAGAAGAAGCAGCATCATATAAAGTATGCCTATTTTATTTCTACATTATTAATTAAACTCTACTTGATGTGTGCATCAGACATTCTCAGAGTTTCACCTATCAGCCACTGGGATCCAGTTAAATTCTTCCTGTGAAATTTAAATACCTATTACTTGTCTTTTATTTCCTGCTACTAACACCCATCTGAAAGAGCAAATGTCCATGAAATACTTATCTTTCTCCTGTAAACAAATACCATACTGCCAAAGGCATGTGATTATGAGGTAAGTTTTTGTGCAACAACATGAAAGAGTAGTTCATGCCATTAAGGTGTTTGAAACTGTGTTTTATTCAAATTCATGGTTTTCTTAAATGTTATGAATACAGAGAAAAAAAATTGTGATAAATGGTTGTGACTTTAATGTTTAAAATAATAAAAACATCTCTGTCATAAATGCTGAAATGTACTTCATGGCTCACAGTGTATGAACCACACAAGTAAACATCAATTTTGTTCTCTTAATGAAAACGGTTTTAGAGCATCTAAGTATAAAATAAGGCTATCAGAAGTTATAAATTCTAGTAAACCCTAACTGATCAAAAAGGTAGTTACTCATTCCATGCTTGAATGACTACAGTCCCTGGCTTTCACTAAGATATTGATCAGGCAAAATTTGTGTAAAGATATGTGGGATTTTAGGAGACAAGCAGAGAAAAACAAATACTGGTTAAATAGTTTTGCCCGTTTATTTTCTCACAACTGGATGAAACACTGAATTGTAAACTAAGCAGCTGCCTCAGGCATTACAATTTTTGCATCTCCTATTTGTAGGAGTACCTCGCACAGTTAACCACCCTGGGTCTCAAGTAGTTTCCATCTGCGCTTTCTAAGATTTGGGATGTAATAGCCTCCTTCATTCTGAGCCTCAATACCTGTCAGAGCCTCTGAAAATTGTCTTCTTACAGTTGTGTATACAATGAATAGTGTATTCTCATATAAATAACAGAAGAAATCTGCATATTCAACAGCACTTCTTTACTATTTTATTAAACATACAAATTTAGTTAGGGTATCCTTGAGTTTCCTTTAATAGTAACCCACTGATCAATGCTTGAGCAGTGTCCTGGTTTTGTGCTGACCAGTAGAGGAGGAATACAGCCAGTCACACAAAAGTCCATCCCAGATTCTCAGTATGTATTACATTATATCAAAATATCCCAACATATATATGGGACTGTGCTGAATATGAGTTAATTTTACTGTATTACTGATTTCTGAAATCACAGAGGTGTAGAAATCTTGGAAATTGTGCTGATGTTTTCCATCTTTAAGTGCCTAGTCTACTGTTTTATAACAATTAGCTTTGCTTAATAGTGTTGAATTTTAAATAATCTTCTTGTCAGCCCCAGTTGAAAACACATGAAATCATAATTTTGGTTATATCCATGTAAAGTAAGTAAAAGTTCATGAGATACGTGCCTTAATTTTACTGGGGACATAAATGAGCTGTAAGATTTCTTGGAGGACATTTGCAGTATTATATACATAAAGATAAATAAAACTAAGTATGCTTGATTTTATTTGAAGTTTTATTTGAATATGTCTCACACAGGTTTTTAATAAATAGATTTTTTCTCTCTGGCCTATCAATTGCTATCATTCTTGTTCCTCTGAATTGCATAAATCATAGTTGTATATATCTCTCTTATGCTGCTAAGATATATATATTCGTCTTCCTCTT